ACAAATACATACTGAAATATCGGTAGATAAAATGATGTCAGGGACTGGCTTCAAATTAATATAGGATGAGGGATTGGATAGAAATGGATATGATGCTATGAGTTGATACCTGCTGAAGCTGGATGACAGGTACATAAGGGTTCATTACATTATTCTACATTTGCATGTTTATGAGATTTTGTACAGGAAAAAAGAAATAAAGAAAAAAATATATGGCACTAAACTTCACATAAGACTTACAGATGAAGAACCTGAAGTTCAGAGAGTTTAGATGAATTAACAAGATCACACAATTAGTTAAGACGTTACTGGGACTATAATGTTTTCTTAACCTTAGAACAATGTTCTTTACATATTACATTTAAAAAAAATTACAATGCTGATCAGTGTTGACCTGCTTAAAATATTTACTGAACCAATTTATAATTGTTGTTATTCCTGATAAGACTAAATTATTCTATAAAGAGCATCTAGAATTTCTTTGATTGCCATAATGTACCAGCTACTGTTCTAAGCTTTTTACATGTATTAACTCCATTCATCCTCAGAGTAACACCATGAGATAGGAACCATTATTATTATTATTCCCATATAACAGATGAAGAAATCTGAGGCACAGAGAAATTAAGCCCAAGGCAAGATTTAAACCTTTGCACTCTGTCTCCAGAGTTCTTAAATACTATGTTATACTGCCTCACTTATAAACTCATAATTTCTTTTATTTTTATTTTCTTTTGCGGTACGCGGGCCTCTCACTGCTGTGGCCTCTCCTGTTGTGGAGCACAGGCTCCGGATGTGCAGGCTCAGTGGCCATGGCTCACGGGCCTAGCCGCTCCGCGGCATGTGGGATCTTCCCAGACCGGGGCACGAACCTGTGTCCCCTGCATCAGCAGGCGGACTCTCAACCACTGCGCCACCAGTGAAGCCCCAAAATTCATAATTTCTTAATCTTATTCAAGTTTTAACTCAAACAAGAAACTACAAAGGTACAGAACAGAAACTCAAAAAAGACAGATCATATACATATATATAAAATACACACACACACATACACACACACACACAGTGTCGATCAGATACAAGAATACATCAGAGCTTTAAAATGAAATAAAGAGAGGTCCATGGAACAATCATTCCCTCTGTTATTTATATAATAGTAGGATTGATTCTTCTTCCCCCACATCCCTGCCATACTTTTTTGTTTTTAATTTTGGTACCATAAAACAAATACTTAGGAGTACTCTAAATCCAGGTAACTGGATTGATTAGTCAAAACTGAATAAATGGTATCCATTTGAAAAGTTTTAAAAAGGTAATAGCATTGTACTTCACTTCTAATCACATTCTTATTACATAAATGTCCACAATATAAAGATAACATTAGATAAGTTTACAATAAAATCAAACATTCCATAGTCTACAGCAGCTTCACAATTTTAGATTCTGAAATCAAGCTATTAAAGGTCAAGTTGTGAGTTATTATACTTAATTGACACCTAAGCTACAAAACAGTGGTGCTAAAATCAGCTGGGAGGCAATTATCTGCTACAAAGAGAGCAAATAAATGGTCAAGAGAAATAAGAATTGTTTAAATTTCTTTCCCACAGTTCAATTTTCCTCACAGTAGAATTCAACTAATGATGGCATAATAATTTTGACAGTGAGCCTATGGAACAAGTTGGCATATTTTCCTTTTCTCTGAGATTGACTTTCATTATATCTAGAGAAACAAAAGCAAAATTAGAAGCCTGTTATAATACCAGTCATTATATCATAGATTCCAAAATAACACAGAAGAAAGCAAGTCTCCAAAGCCATTACTACATCCAGTAAAAGCTCTAAGTTACATAATTAAACCATCTACTGAAAAACTGGTTACAAAAAAATGTGAAATCCTGTTAACAAACAGATTAGTGCTTAAAATGCAACCAAAAATATTTTTTGTTTAAAAGTGGCATTTTGACTCAGAAATGCACAATGGATTTGGAGCATAAACCTAAGTAAATGAAATATAACACTGATACACCTCAAGAAAAACTGTTTAATCCTACATGTATAAAAATAAGCTCATAATTTCTTAACCTTATTAAAGTTGTGACTCAAACAAGAAACCAAAAGGGTTCAGAACATAAACCCAAAGAGGAAGATTAAAATACATATAATCAAATAATACATAATAATAGATATGAGGGATTAATGATGGAAAAATCTAATTTTATCCTATAGTTTCAACACTCTCCCCCACCAAAAGTTTTCCAAAGCTCTAAGCAAATAGCTAAATTGACTCATTTGAGTAATTACTTTCTGATGCAAACACCCACAAAATGTGCCACAGTACAAATGTAGATGATGTAACCTCAAAAAATTGTTGTGAGGATTCAATGAGTTAATATTCATTAAGTACCCAGCCAAGTGTATGGCACACAGCAAACACTCAAATAATAGTGTAATTATAATTACTTGTTAATGTTAATAGCACCTTTCATTTCCATAGCAATTCTTCATAATAACTTCTTAAACTATACAAAATTCTTAACAGTTTACAGAATTCAAACTGCTTTCCAATATTTCTGGATGTCTGTAAAATCTGAGTAAGAACAAGGAAAAAACTACAGTGGTTCATCCAACCAATTAATATTTTATTCTGACTGTGGAAATAAAGGATGCTTTTAGGGCAACTGTGTTTACCTTAACTTCAGCTCAAAAAATTAAGGTATGCGTCAGAAACATTCCTTAATGTAACTAACTAATCCATTAATTTAAGTAAACTTTCTTGAACTTACTGAAATTATCTTGAAATTATTATTTTAACTTCTTTTATCTGAATTTGCTATTTTCAATGTATTCTTAATTACTCCCTTTCAACTTTCAGAGGTGTACTATTAATACACCTAATAGTGTATTCCACTGTTCTGGAATTTGATTTAAAAATTTTTATCCTACCTCTCTATATGGTTAAATATAAAAGACTTTTCTAGTCAGTACACAATTCCTAGAATTCAAGAATAAGATTTTTTAAAAATCTGCTTCATAATAGAAATAAACAGAATATACATTAATTGGATGAGATTTATTTTCCACAAAATAACTCTAAAAGATAGTAAGATATGGGATGCTGATAAGGTCCCATTTCCTGGTCCCATCCACCATGAAGACTAATGCATCTTCCAAGTCTTCATCAAGGAAATTAAAGGTAACAGATATAAAATAGACTGCAATCTATAACATAGTGATCTACAGGGCCCTGAGAAAAGGGGTCAAAATGAAAACTCATCGTGCTTTGTTCCAAGGAAAAGGATATAACTAGTTGATTTAAGTATCCAAGCCCCTTGAAAGAGTATTCTTTATAGAGAGAAGGGGTAATTCTTAAGCTTCTACCATAATTTTGATGCTGATATATAATTCAGGACTTTCCAAGTTCACTTTCTTTGTTCCACGATTACCACACAACTTCCCAAGTTCTTGCACTTGGGAAGAGTGCACTGGATTTTCAACCTGAAAATTCTGATTACTGGAAAGGGTTATCTTCTATTCCAACATAAACTGGCATTCTAATGTGTACATTCTGATGTGTACATCATTCTTTCAGTTAACTTTGAATTGAGTTCCTGAAGTCTGAGCATACATGAGTAAAAGTATAAATTTGAACTTCTTACGTTGGAAATATGAGAACTAGACATTCCTTCTCATTGACAACTTCTAAAATCACCTCTTGGTTTTCACTCCCCTGCCCTTACCCTGCCTCTAAAATTAAAAAAATAAAATAAAATTTTTTTTTTAGTTAAACCAAATTTAGGCAGATTCATTTAAACACCAAAATGACTAATTAAAATCAAAGTAACAACCTAGAACTTAAACCAAAACAGAAGGATGCATGTTTACACAAGCCCCATTTACATTTACTCTACTCCCAAAAGAAAGGGGAAAAAGAAAAAAGAAAAGAAACCTATAATAATCAAATTGTGCTTTAAGACAACACCCAGAAGTTATTTTTGAACTTCCATTATCCAGCAAAAATTATTTATAAAGTGGCTTGGTATGCTAAGACTTAAAGTATTTAAGAGACATGTGGAACAGAACGGGGTAGGAACACTTGCATTTTAAGTGCATAAATTGTGGACTTCAAATGATAAGAGACTTTTCTCACTGGGTCATTCAAAAGCAACTGTATTATTCCTTCCCCAAAATATTTTCTTCCACACTCCAAACAACTCAGCCTCACACCAGGCACTCCAGCTCTTCAATTGTTTCCGCTTAAGTTTAATTACAAGAAGGAAAAAATGCTCACCAAATTCACAGTTCGCCTAAAACAAAGAAACGTCTAATATCAACTCTAAATCTACAGGGCAGAATTCTCTTAGAACCGTAATGATAAGAACTTCAACAGCAACTGAAATTCTTTGCAGTCTCGGTTTCCAGGATACTGAAAGGCTGCAGAGACGCGGGAGGATCCTGCAGGGAGGCTGTGGCTGCGGAGGGAGCGGGAGAGGGGAAGGGGTGAGTCCCACAGAGGAACTGCATTAGACTTTGAGAACCTATGAGGGAAAGGTTAGCTACAAGGAAAAACAGATTTATCTCCAGATCAAGTACGTTTTCAAAGAGAACTTAAAGTGACGAGGATAAGGAAAAATGACAGAAAATCACTAACAGAAAACCATTAACCCTCCAAAACCGGAGGGTAAGCGAAGTAGGAAAAGGGGGTTGGGGGGGAGGGCGAGGAGAGTAAAGGCCTAAAACACCAGGATTTGAAAAAAAGTACGCGAGGTCTGAGCTCGGCCTTGGGCCGGATCTCCCGTCCCGGTAAGCGGACGGCAGGCTGAAAGGATCGCACTTAGGGCTGTAGATAGCAACGCATTTACAACGATTGAGCCCTGCACAAGAAGATGTCGCCTCTCTCCCTGCTTGCTCCCGTTCATTTATTCACATCTTACTCCAGCACCAGCAGCACTCCAGCAGAACTCTGCCAAAGCCTGCTCCGCAGGACAGCAAAAGGAAAATACCTGAGTCCCAGGAATCACGCCCGCAGCAACAGGAGGAGGAGCCGTGAACAACGGGAACCCGGGCAAGATCCTCTTTTGCCTTTAGTCAAATCCCAGTTCTTACGGGTGGGGCGGGGAACTTCCTCCCTGAGCGAGGAGAGCGTCACTTCCCCTTAATGCCTTCTCTCTTCCTCGCCTTCTCCGCTCCAGATTAGTTCATTACGTTCGCAACGTTTTCACTTCCTTTTCCAGGGGCCTTCTGCCTAGTCTGATCTTCCGATATGGACTACATGACCCAGCATTCATCACGGCAGATTGATTTCCGGGTCAAGAGGTCCGCGCCGGGTATATCACCATGGAAGCGCTCGGTTTGGTCACGTGGTGCCCCTGGTTACGCCCGGAGGCAGCTGCGGGGTCTGGGGCTCAGACGGGGGCCATTTTGCCGAAGGCAGTCTCCTGGAGTTGCGGGCTTAAACTGTTCTTTTTCCTCCTCTGCAGCTTGAGGCTTGGAGAAGAACAGGAAGGCTGGGCTCCATCGAGCCCTTCGGAGACGATGGTTTCTTACAGGCTCCGCCACTTGACGACCCTTCATGGCGGCTGCGCCCTTCGCGCTGCTCCCGCTGCCGCCCCTTCCAGCCCTCTGTGCCTATCGCCTCCAGAGCCGCAGTCGTCCTCCCGCCCCAGAGACTGATGATAGACGAGGTGGGGGCGCCATGAGAGGCGAGAAAAACTACTGCTGCCGTGGAGCTGCCGGAGACCACGATTCCTGCCCCCCGACACCTTCGCCTCTGGCCTCGACCCTCTTGATGCCCGCGGAGGCAATCTCAAGTAATTGGTCTGGGTCTGGAGGTGGTTTGTCAGGGGGAGATGAAGAGGAGACTCGGCTCCTTCAACAACTCCGGACCGCGCCAGATCCTTCCGAGGCTTTCCAGGCTTTACAGGCTGCTTTGCCGCGCCGGGGCGGTAGACTTGGCTTCCCCCGACGAAAGGAAGCATTGTATCGGGCCGTGGGCCGAGTGCTTGTGGAAGGAGGTAGTGATGAGAAGCGACTCTGCTTGCAACTCCTCTCGGACGTTCTCCGGGGTCAGGGGGAGGCAGGCCAGTTGGAAGAGGCCTTTAGCCTAGCACTTCTGCCTCAACTAGTTGTCTCCTTACGAGAAGAGAATCCAGCCCTGCGGAAAGATGCGCTGCAGATCCTACATGTGTGTCTGAAACGTAGTTCTGGACAGGTGCTGAGAATGCTTATACAACAAGGACTGGAAAGTACCGATGCCCGGCTTAGAGCTTCCACGGCACTACTGTTCCCTATCTTGCTTACTCCTGAGGATTTGTTGCTCGGCCTAGATCTTACCGAGGTGATAATATCCTTAGCCCGAAAGCTTGGCAGTCAGGAGATAGAAGAAGAATCTGAGACAGCCTTCTCTGCACTTCAACAAATTGGGGAGCGTCTTGGCCAAGAGAGGTTTCAGTCATATATCTCTCGCCTGCCTTCTGCCCTGAGGAGACACTACAATCGCCGCCTGGAGTCCCAGTTTGGAAGTCAGGTTCCTTATTATTTGGAACTTGAAGCCTCTGGATTTCCTGAAGATCCCCTTCCCAGTGCAGTGCCTCTTTCCAACAGCAATCTTAAATTTGGGATTATTCCTCAGGAGCTGCATTCAAGGTTGTTAGATCAGGAAGACTATAAGAACCGGACTCAGGCTATTGAGGAGCTAAAACAGGTGATGGGACTCTTTAACCCTAGTTCCACCTCTCATTCTAGCCTCGTCGGTTTCATTAGTTTGATGTATAATTTGTTAGACGATTCTAACTTCAAAGTGGTCCATGGCACACTTCAAGTCCTGCATTTACTGGTTGTTCGTCTTGGAGAGCAGGTACAACAGTTCTTGGGACCAGTTATAGCAGCTTCTGTCAAAGTGCTGGCAGACAACAAGTTGGTGATCAAACAAGAATACATGAAAATCTTCCTCAAGCTAATGAAGGAAGTAGGTCCTCAACAGGTGCTTTGCTTACTCCTGGAACATCTCAAACATAAGCATTCCAGAGTGAGAGAGGAAGTGGTGAACATTTGCATCTGCTCCCTCTTGACCTATCCCAGTGAGGATTTTGACTTATCCAAACTGTCTTTTGATCTTGCTCCAGCTCTTGTAGATAGCAAACGCAGGGTACGCCAAGCAGCTCTTGAAGCCTTTGCTGTGTTGGCATCATCAATGGGCTCAGGTAAAACCAGCATCCTTTTCAAAGCTGTGGATACTGTTGAGCTGCAAGATAACGGAGATGGAGTGATGAATGCTGTGCAGGCCAGATTGGCTAGGAAAACCCTCCCAAAGTTAACAGAACAGGGATTTGTGGAGTATGCAGTACTCATGCCATCATCTGCCCAGGGTAGATCAAGCCATTTGGCACATGGAGCAGATACAGACTGGCTTTTGGCGGGTAACAGAACTCAGAGTGCACACTGTCACTGTGGTGACCACACAAGTGATAGCATGCAAATTTATGGATCTTATAGTCCAACTATCTGTACTCGAAGGGTACTAAGTGCAGGAAAAGGAAAAAATAAATTACCATGGGAAAATGAGCAGCCTGGAGTCACGGGAGAAAACCAGACCTCCAATTCAAAGGATATAGAACAGGTATGCATCTTCCCTAATTTCCTTGAGTTGAGGCAATGAAAGAATTTAAAATGAAAGTATGCTTGTTATGACTTAAAGGTGAGGCTCCTTGAGTGCTGTATGCTTTGTTTTTAAGTCAATTTGCTGATGTATCTCTTATAATGAGACAGGTTTGGTAGGTTAGGTAGGTTTCCTGCTTGATTGATTGGATTAAATTTGAGGCACAATTTGATATAGACAATGCTTGGATTTCAGTTTTGGCCTGTCACTTTGGCATATCAGTTATCTCATTCATACAACAAACAGTGAATACCTGGTAGGTGTCAGATAAAGAGCTAAGTTCCGGGAAGGAAGATGAGACCAGTTCTGCAGTTTAGGGAAAAGGTCAGACCTATAAACAGGCAGTTACCAATTTGTTAAGTGCTAAAATAGAAATATAAAGGGCCCTGTGGGAATACTGAAAATAGAAAAAATAATTCCACTGGAAAAGTAAAAAAAAAAAAAAAAGCCTTCCAATAAGATATGACATCTGAACTGAGATTTTTTTCCTCAAGTTTTTATTTTGAAAATTTCAAATCTGTAGGTTACTTAAAAGAATAGTACAGCGAATATTCATATGCTTTATCTGTATTTACCATATTACCATCTATAATGAGATGAACTTTACATGACATCACCTCATGTGGCATGTAATATCAGGTGTCCCACTATTGGTGATGCTGAGTTTTATCACTTGGTTAAGATGGTGATAGCCATATCACTCCATTGCAAAGGTTTACTTTCCTCTTTATAATTAGCACATGATCTGCAGGATGATACTTTGAGACCTTATGGATACGTCAACGACCTTCCACCCCTGTTGTTAGCATCCACTAATGATCCTTACCTGTATATTTATTACATTGGGAACTACAAAAAAGGGTGACACTTCTGAAAATTCTAATGGTCCTTCTGTATTTGTTACCTGGCATTCTTTTTTATTTTATGTGTAATAATTAAATACATTAGTATTCCTTTTGATGCTAAAATTGATTTGACCAGTGGCTGGCTCCTGTGTCCTTTCTCATGACTCTTTAGTCTTTGAACACTTCCTTAGCTTAAACATAATATGATGCCCAGCACCTTGTATTTTTCTTGCTCCAGACCTGGAATCAACCTTTTTTCCAAGAGCGCAAGAACTGCTTTTTTTCGTGGAGAGTGGAATTTTAAAACCAAAGTCTGGGTATAGATGTGCTCACTGCTATTGCTTATCATTATGCGTTGGTCCTTTCAGTGGATAGAACCAGGGAATACCTTTATTTATTTATTTTAATTTTATTTACTTTTTGGCTGCATTGGGTCTTCATTGCTGCACGTGGGCTTTCTCTAGTTGCGACGAGAGGGGGCTACTCTTCGTTGCGGTGTGCAGGCTTCTCATTGTGGTGGCTTCTCTTGTGGAGCACGGGCTCTAGGGCGTGCGGGCTTCAGTAGTTGTGGCTCATGGGCTCTAGAGCACAGGCCCAGTATTTGTGGCACACGGGCTTAGTTGTTCCAAGGCATGTGGGGTCTCTCCAGACCAGGGATCAAACCTGTCTGCCTTGCATTGGCAGGCGGATTCTTAACCACTGTGCCACTAGGGAAGTCCCAATACCTTTTTTATTTTTTTAAAACAAATTCATACTGATACCTCCAATTCAAATCCAGCACTACAAGGTTCTTACTCATCTTCCTTTAGTCCATATTTGTATCTCCCTTCTCCCACAGTATAACTCTGGTCCCCAATATCAGTTATATTTATTCATATGCTGTATCCTACAGTACACAAAATATAATTACTACACCAGTAATACAACAACTAACTACCTACTAAATAAAGTTAAAGATTTCTTTGCAGTTGTTTTTATGCTTAGAATTATCCAACAGTCATGTGGTCAAACTTTTCTTAAATTAATTGGTTTATAGGTGATTATAATCGAAATGGTATGATAAAAGATGAATAGGAATTTGCTAAGTGTGGATGCATCCTGGTGAATTTCAGACTGAAGATATATATGTTCAGAGACACTGAATTATAAAAGGACTTAGCGAGTTAATAAAAAATGGTAAATTTCTAAACAGCTGAAACAGGGAGTTTGGTGGGAAGCAATAGAAGATGAAACTAGAAATGTAGGCAAGGACCAAGTATGGAGATAATTTTTGTAAATAACTAGTTCGTGCCTTTCTCAAAATGGATGGAGCCCGATATATATTGCTTTTGAAAGAAGTTATGGTGAAATTAAAAATTATCCCAGGGCTTCCCTGGTGGCGCAGTGGTTGGGAGTCCCCCTGCCGATGCAGGGGACATGGGTTCGTGCCCCGGTCTGGGAGGATCCCTCATGCTGTGGAGGGGCTGGGCCCGTGAGCCATGGCCGCTGGGCCTGCGCGTCCGGAGCCTGTGCTCTGCAATGGGAGAGGCCACAACAGTGAGAGGCCCGCGTACCGCAAAAAAAAAAAATTATCCCAGAAATTAAGTTATACAGCTGTCCTTCAGTATCCGAGGGAGATTGGT